GCAGCAATTAGTATAAAATACTGTAGATCCCACCAGGTCTTCCCAAGACATGCCAACTCCTGCAACTGCATCTGCTGGATATACACCCATCTGGAGTATCCAGAGGGTTTTCCAGGAAGCTCCTGCTTGTGCCCAGACCCAGGGATGGGTGTAAGAGTTGACGTGTAGGTATGAATCCTGCAGCGGGTGTAGATGTTGCCTCAGCCACTGGTTGTTGTTGATGGGGATACAGATGCTTCAGCAGAGCAGCCTGTGTTTCCCCGCTCAGGCTCCCCTTGGCTGAGCTCTCTGGAGGCTGCAGTGTCAGCCAGGGGTTACTTATTTCCCATATAATGCTTATCTCGGGCTACTGTGCTGAATTCTCCAGTTTAGGAACAGAAATGATGCTCGGAGCTGCCTGCACCAGCCCACAGCCCAAGGAATAATGCCCAGAGGGATCTGGACCCCATCGAGAGGGGGAGGAGGAGAGGAGTCCAGAGGAGAGTCCTGATGGAGAGGGTCCAGAGGAGGGCCATGAGGATGATCAGGGGAATGGAGCACCTCTTCTACGAGGACAGGCTGAGGGAGATGGGGTTGTTCAGCCTGGAGAAGAGGAACCTCCAGGGAGACCTTCCAGTACCTGAGGGGGGCTACAGGAAGGCTGGGGAGAACCTGTTTAGAAAGGCCTGCAGTGAAAGGACGAGGGGCAATGGCTTTAAGCTGGAGGGGAACAGATTTAGATGAGATTAGGAAAGGGTTTTTCACTGTGAGGGTGGTGGAGCACTGGAACAGGTTGCCCAGGGAGGTGGTTGAGGCCCCATCCCTGGAGATATTCAAGGTGAGGCTCGACGAGGCCCTGGGCAACCTGGTCTGGTTGGGGGTGTCCCTGCTGACTGCGGGGGGGTCGGACTAGATGGCCTTTGGAGGTCCCTTCCGGCCTGGACAACTCTATGACTCTATGAGACAGAGTGGCTTGAGCAAAGGGTTAAAACACCAGGTGCTTCAATTCCCTTTTTGTTGTAATATTGTTCATTAAAATTTGTGAGGGTAAAATCTACTCGCCCTGCTTTCAGCTGGGGGGTAAGGAAGGGCAGTTCAGGGTGCGTGGAAGTAACAATACTGGCATCACTGGGAGATGAGGAGTTAGCCAGATTTTTTTTGTACCGAATTTTTAATTTACTTCTCAGGTTGGAGTTTACCTCCTTGAGGTCACAGGGCTTTTGCGAACAATGCAAACTGTCTGGAAGCCCATGGGGAAACGCTGACTGAGGGCTCAGAGGAACCAAGAGCCCCGTGAGGAACATGGTGAACAAGCGTGGAGGTGTCTCGGGCAGCGGTGAGGGACCAGCTGCCTTCAGACCCACAAAGGGACCAGCAGCAGCCACCCCACACCTCACCCTTGCCCATCAGCAGAGGAGGAGGGAGCACCCCAGATACAGCAGATCCAGGATGGAGAGGAGGTTCTCCTGGGTATTTAGGTATCTAACTGCTGCTGCTTTAAAAAGGGCTTATGCAAATGTCACTTGACACAAACTTACACAAATGCAGACTATCCATCAACTCAGATTTTGACATGTAAGTGCTATTTTTCCTGTTTTTTTTTTCTTTTCTTTTCTTTTGGCAAGAAATACAATAGGACATGATTTTTCTGCCTGTACATGCCTCCATCAAAGGTACTTTTCTAAAATGAATGAAGCTTTCTGGTAAAGTGCTTTTGACCTATTTCATCACCAATTTAACGTGTTGCCAAGATAGAAAATGCAGTCAAATTGCTCCTGTTTATTTGTGAAGCTGCGATACAAAATGTAGAGTTAGAAAAGCTTTTAAATTCTGCCCTGTTTAATGAATGAACCTCCAGTTGTTCCCTATATCGGCTGCTCACACATAGGTCAGTGAGAGCACAGCAAAATGATGACTTGTAAAGCCACTATACATTTTTTGTTCAGTGAGAACTGGAAAAGTCTGTTCCTGCAGGAAGGAGTTTCCAGAAATGCAACCTATGGCTGAAAGAAATCTTCCTGTGGAGCTACCCTGCCACACTTGATGGACAGCCCAGCTCCTGCAAGGGCTCTTGTCTTCCCTGCATGTAAAACAGATCTCAAAAGCCGTGTCCAGACCCAACATAGAGCCGGGGAGACACCCGTGCCCTTTCAGATGGGGAGGACTCTGGGGAGAAGATGCCAGGAAGGTGAGGTGTTACAGGAACACCCTGGGAAACAGAGGAGAAATGCTTTGTCTCTGCTGGAAAGTCTTCTCCAGGATAGTCATCCCCTGGGACGGCTGAGCAGCTGAGACAGAGGGTTCCACCACCAGCATCTACTCTGTTTGGGTGAAACCTCAGCGAGGAGGAGCCCTGCCCCATGTTACTGTCTGAGATAAATTCAGGATACCTATCTTGGACTGATTTCGCTACTTTTAGGTAAAAAATGCTGTCGAAATCTTGACTGTGCTTTTTTTTCTTCCCCAATGAATTTCTTTCTTACAGCTTAGGCATCATCTTTTGAGGTGAGCAATGCTGTTATTCGTCCACCAGTGCTGCTGGGGAGGTATAAAGCTTTCTGGCAGAATTTGACAGTAGTTGATTTTTACAATGCAAAAGTGAAGGTTATCCAGATGACATTTTTTTTTCACTTTTCCTTCTTTTTTTTTTTTTTTTTTTCCATATAAAAGCAGTTCATTGTGCATTGGTACCTGTTTGAAGAAGCAGACCCTATCCACCCTCTGGAACCAACCCATGCCAGTAAGTGAGACTCCACTGATTTTAGTATTTCTGTATGGAAAAGTTGTAGCACTGAGGGAGGCAAAACCAAGGGATGGGATAGTGGCAGCTGCAGGAGCAGCAGCAGCAGTGAATTGAATTTCTTGAATTGCTTGATTTTCTCCTGCTGGATGTGGAATATTTTCCTGCTTGTGCAAGAGTCATAGGAAGGTGGCTACTATTCTATAATAATGTATATATTTTGCTAGATTTGGCCAAATATTCAATGACTTGCAGAAAAAAGTCCATTTTCCAAGTGAGAAGTCCTCTCCTCCCTCACCATAAGCAGCCAGTCCCCTTCTTGCTGACTTTTGCAACCCTAGATTTAATGTTTTACATTCTCTTCTATACACAAAGTCGTGGCAATTTCACAGTGTTGGCAGAGTTAATATTTGCAGACTCTCCTGATGAAACATTAGGTTAAATGAAATAATAGTTTCTATGCAGAAATTAAATGTCTGCACAGGGGTTGGAAGGGATTTAACGTTAGAGTTACTCTGTTTTCATAGAATCATAGAATTGTCCAGGTTGGAAGGGACCTTTAAGATCATCTAGTGCAACCATCAACCTAACTCTGATAAAAACCATCACTAACCCATGTCACTGACCACTGTGTCAACACATCTTTTGAACACCTCCAGGGATGGTGCCTCAACCACTTCCCTGGGCAGCCCATTCCACTCCTTTTCTCCAGGATCAACACCCCCAGCTCCCTCAGCCTCTCCTCATAAGACTTGTTCTCCAGACCCCTCACCAGCTTTGTTGTCCTTCTCTGGACCCGCTCCAGCACCTCAATGTCTTTATTTTTGTAAAAAAAATCATTGCCTAATCAATGTAGTTATACAGGTTTGGGGAAACAAATTGAAAACCCAATAATGCAGCTTCTTAGCCAGTCAAAAGCCTCTGTGGGACCATTCTGGCCATGCAGAATTCCTTCCTGTAACTGAGACACAGGTTTGACTTGAAGGAAAGGGAGCAAGACCATGATGTCTCACACGCCCTGGGTGACACTGGTACCCCTTTCGTACCCCATTCCTACAGCCGTGCCTCCAACCACGCCACATCCTCCACCACCACTCACCCTGCAGGTCAGGAAAGGCTCTCATCACTTTATTTCTTTTTCTGTTCACATTTAATACCACAGGCACAGCTGAGATTGGAAACACACGTACGTGGCGCTGGGCGTGTGATGGGTTCACTTACACAGACGCGTCACCAAGTGAGCTCACACCTTCACAATCTTCTCGAGATTTCCCCGAATTTCTTGTTTTCCCTGAGTTGCATGACATCTGCCATCAGATCCGTCTGTCAGTCCACAATGGGCGAGGTGGATGGTGGCTGGAGATGGGACGGGAGACCCTCCTGTAGCGCTGCTCCTCCTTTGTCCCTTAATTTATAGGTTGGGCATCCACCAAACCTGTGCTCTCCGTGAGCAGGGAGCAAGACGAGCCCAGGCGCCACAATGAGGGGCAGCCATCTCCTTTCCCCCAGCCCCAGCGAAGCGTTGGGTGATATTAAAAAAAAACCCCACAGTATATACAGAAGAGGCCAAATTCTCTTTTCAGTTAGACCTGAGCAGCACCATCAACTAAAGGTGTTAACAGGCAGAATATGGCCCACCGGCGGCAACCGGACGGTGCGGAGGCGGTAGGAATTTCTCTAAAGGACAAATTGATGGTGGAGAAGGGGCCGTGGACCAGCTGGTAATAAATACGAGGCTGAAATAAATAGGAAGCTGCTATTGCACATGCACGCTCCGAAGCTCCATTAGCAGGGCCACCAAAACCTACGTGGTGCTGTGACAACCGAGGCGACATGAGGCACGGTGATGAGCACAAGGGATGGGAAGTTCTCTCGCTCGCTTCGCCATGGCGTACTCGAGTTATAAAAAGCGACTGAATTTAAGATTTTTATGGATCAACTACGAGAATATGTCTGCCCGTGTGGTTTAATGCAGATTTTTCTATCACTCTGCCAGGTCACGTTGGTTAAAAAATAAAAAATAATGTTCTGAATTTGATACTGCAGCAAACCAGTACAGCTGCACGCCGGGCACTGGGAACCAGTTGATATGCTTTAAATAGAAATAAGTGGTGGTTTAGAGGCAGGAGACCTGTCCTTAGCAGCCTTTGGGGGTCCGGGGGTGCGCAGCGCATGGACATGAGCCACAGACTCCTTAGAAATCCTGGAACAACCAAAAGTTGCCCCGTTCAAACACATCGAGTCGTTCACAGTCAAGCTGAACAGAAGAAGTACGGATGATCTAGCTAGTGATAAAAAAAAAACCAACCCATAAAATATGACTTCGGTGGGAGATTGCATTCCGTATTTTTATAGCATCACTGCAGTTCTGAAGTCAGCACTGTCCTTGTCCCACTGATATATGTGTTAAACAAAAAAAAGATATTTCAGTACAGTCATGTTCTAAGCCACTTCTGTGAAGGTATTTTTTTCTCATTTCCTTTCCACTCAGACATGACATGCTGGTCATGTACTTTTGCGTGTTTAAAAATTATCCATTTTATTTCTCCTTTTTTTATTTTTTTTAGAAACCGTTTTCCTCATTCAGAGAAAAATGTTAGTTTATTTAAAAATCAAGATTATGAAAAGTGTATCAAATTCTGTGGTTTTTCTACTCCAAAAAGGCAATTCCGTTTTTCTCTTTCTAGGGTCTGGTTTCATGCCAGGGAAAAAATACTCAGCAAAACTAAGGTTACCTCTGGAAAAATTCTCACTCAAGCTACGAGCTGCTGAAATCACACAAACTCTCGAGTGAACGGGGCTCCATCGCTCTCCTGCTAAAGTCAGTGCAAAAAGAAAAAAAGTAAGTCATATGGGCAAAAGCAGAAGGAAAAAAAAAATACTTGAGTGTTGGCAAATTCTGTGACCAAGTGTCTCCTTTTATAGTCTCAAAGTTGAGTTTGTTTGTTGTGGTTTTGTTTTTTTTAAATCTTTTAACTGCCTACATTAGGTCTTCCAGCAAATCCAGACGATGACGAAAGTACGGCTTCAACGTTTGGGTTTGAGTTCCTCCCCCTCTTTCTCTTTCGTTATGGCTTCCTGGGAAATACTGGTAGGCAATGCTCTTGGTGCTGGGAATTTGGGAATCACGTGTCATGTGATGACGCTCGGTTCTGTCCAAACCCGTGAACTTTCTTGCTTGGTGCTGGAAAGTCTTTTCTTGGGAAGGGGTTTGAGTCCAAAGAGGCGGCAGGCGGCGACGCGGTACTTCTTGGACATGATGTTGTAGAGGATGGGGTTGATGGCTGCGCTAAGGTAGAAGAGGACAAAGGACACCAAGTTGCAGTACTGGCTGATCACTGCTATCTCCAGGGATCCGGCTTCGAAGGATTTGGAAAATAAATATCGTCCTACGTGAAAAGGCAACCAGCAGAGTATGAAAGCAAATACCACCACAACTAAAATGAAAACAGCAGAAAAAACCAGCGTTAGGTATGAGTATCAGAGGGTGATTTAAAATTTGACTTTTTAAAATTCTATTTCAAGTTTCTGTTCAAAATTCAAAATTGCAAAATGCATCCCGAAACTTTTCAGTTTGGGGTCTCTCAATACGTTCTCTGAGAGCACAAATTAGCAATCCTTGGCACGCGTCGATCACATCTATCCAGGCTGCCTGTATACTGCACCTCTGACAGACCAGAATTCTGACCTATAAAACTTATGCTTTCATAAACAGAGAATTAAAATGGTGGCAAAATGAAAGTATAATAACCTGCCATCTGCAGTGTTTGACGAAAGCAAATTATATATAATGTGATAGACTCAACACTGTGGTTTATAATGAAGAATGTAATCACCAGGGAGCAAAAATATTTGGGGCAAAGGCCCAAAAATGAAATGAACTACCAGAATTTGGACTTGTAGCGCACACATGCCAAGGTAAGAATAAACAGGGATGCATCTGTCCAGTTTGTCCACTTTTTTGAGTATTAGTTATATCAAGAAGAGTAAAACTAAATGCATAATATATAACTACACAATTATAGTTATATAGTATATCTGTAATATTACACTATCACTATCATTGCCTTTATGTGTAAATATCATATAAGCAGAGTAACAGGAATGTGTGTATCTTTGAACACTGGCCCATTTGAATTTCCAGCCTAGAGAAAGGGAAAATTTTTCTGTTCATTTCCTGTGTGCTATTGACCTTCATTATTTTTCAGATTGCTCCGAGTGTATCTATTAATATACCAGAAAGAGAAAAACCAGAAAACTCGAGCAAGGTTTTTTGACATTCCTAAGCAGTTTTTTACCAGTTAACCTGTTCTGTTCTGTAGCAATCCTGCTTGCTCGTGTCAAGTCACAGGAGATATAAAATTCAGAGAGGTAAGAGAGATGAGTGTCAGCACCTTTCCCCAAAAACTTTCTGAACAAGCATTCCCGAGTCTGAATGGATACTTATGGTGGACTCTAGAGCACAGAGCTGAAATTCAGACTATCTGTTTTCCAGCTCTGCATCTTCCTGAGCCGACCACTTCCATTTTTCCCCCCAGTATCTTCACCTACAAAATTCAGGTGGTGTTTCCCTTGCTCACAAGTGTGCTCGGGAATTTAATCCATATAATGAGTATTAGCACGATGGTCATCACAAACAGGATTTTAAGCACAGCTGGTATTTCCACATGTAGGCAATGCATAGCCCTCCTCAGGCTTTTGACAGCTTGATCTTCACGCCTGCAGAGTCACACTGATTTCAATAGGAACAGGGGATGATAGCTCTTTTCAAGTCAGGCTATACATTTAGGTGTTTAATTAGGGACCTAGAAGCATAACCTTCCTCTACAGTTTAATAGAAGTGGTGGTGCTAATCCCATTTACTCGATGTTCCGTGACTTGCTAAAGTCTTAGAAAGTGCCTTCTAAATTTTAAGCAGAACATTAAAAGCAGTGAGAGCACCGAGCATCTGCTGGTGCTGAGCCCTTACTACTTTCCTTTCCATCTTTCCATCAGACTGTTATCGTTTAGAGAATATAGGCTCGCTCTCTGAGGACAGGCTTTCCACTGTCTTGCTGTTCTCAGACCTTGTAAAAGTTTAAAAAAAAAAAAAAAAAAGTCTGACATGCTGTAATGCTTGTGGCTATACTTCAGGGCAGAAATAAACAGTTATTACTTCAAAATTCTTTGTGGTTAAGTATACAGAAATATAAACATGGTAGTAATATAAGCCAGCAATTTACTTGTTGGGAAGTAGAGATTCATAATCCTGAAACTCTCGAAGTGTAAACGGTGAATTACTTCCAAGGTCATGCTTTATCAGACCGAAGTCATTGTATTGATCATAAAACGTAGCTGAAAGGGCACAAAGAATGCCACGGGGTTTATTATTCCTCCCGCTGTTGCATAGTAATATAGCAGGATGGGAACAACAAAAAAAAAAATCAGTCAGGCTCCCATTTAGTAATTAAGGTAGTTAGGACACACCGCCACCTCTTCCTCTAGCTCATTAGCCCCATGGCTCCCACCCAGCTGAAACGAGCAGGGTGAAGGTGCTGCTACCAGTGAAACCTTCTCCAAGCAGAGCATCCCACCCCCTCGGTAATTAAGGTAGTTAGGACACACCGCCACCTCTTCCTCTAGCTCATTAGCCCCATGGCTCCCACCCAGCTGAAACGAGCAGGGTGAAGGTGCTGCTACCAGTGAAACCTTCTCCAAGCAGAGCATCCCACCCCCTCGGAAACCCTCGGGGTGACTTGCACTGCGGAGGACTTTCATTTATTTATTTTTTTAATTTTTTTTTTGTGCCGGAATAAAAGCCCGCAGCAGCAGCAGGATCCTGCAGTTTGCAGACACGAAGCTGCAGAACTTTGTGGTCCCGTGCATCCAACTCCCACCGCACGCCCCGCCTTGGGTGCGTTAAAATTTGTGTTTCCATGTGCCAACAATAACTGCTGTGTAAAGCCCTCAGCGGTGTAAATACACACAGTGAGGAACCAGCAGCAGCAGGATCCTGCAGTTTGCAGACACGAAGCTGCAGAACTTTGTGGTCCCGTGCATCCAACTCCCACCGCACGCCCCGCCTTGGGTGCGTTAAAATTTGTGTTTCCATGTGCCAACAATAACTGCTGTGTAAAGCCCTCAGCGGTGTAAATACACACAGTGAGGAACCACCGTGTCTTTGTCACAGCAAGAAGAGTTCCTTCCAGTCAGTGAGAATTTACAGGATCCCAGACCTCAAGGGAGCCACAGTGGTCCCTGGTCGGCACATGCCCGTGTTTTTGCTGATAGAAAAATGCAGATTAATTTTCACAAGCTCATGCAGCCAGCCAAGCAAATAACCCCAATTTGCTAAAGCCTTGATACTCTTTTCATATAAAAAGGAAGGGCACATCCCAACCCAGCTTGCTCAGCCTGCAGCTCAACTTTGGGGCTTGAGAAGGGTTTCGTTTTGTTTAAAAATCAAATAAACTATCTTTCTGTAAATAACGTCGGTATCCACAACCAGAGAGCAAAAACGTTCAAAAAATCTCCAGGGCACTAGCTAATTGTAACCGTAGCATTTGTTCTTGTCAGTGGTTGTTATTAAACCATTTGAGAGTCCCCAGCTCAAGCCAGTTAGAAATAAATCTAAGGAGGGAAGAGTTATTCTATGAAGACCTTGAGGTGCAACTCTTTGTGTGAAACATGTTCAATAAATGCTTTTCTTTGGAAGGAACTACAGTGACCCACCAGTGCTCTCCCAGCCTGTCTCTCTCCCACACACACACAATCACACACAACCTTTGGAAAAAAACACAGCAAGAAGAGCCGTACCTAACATTTTCACAGTTTGCTTGTTGTTCTTATCCCTGATGACAGCGTTTGGACCGATGTTCTTTCTCTTCCTCCTCCAGAGCTTCCTCCCGATGAGGCTGTAGAGCACGGTCAAGCAAAAGACGGGCAGGAAAAAGAAGATGCTGGAGGTCCAGACCATGATGGTGAGGAGCCCCGAGCGGATGGCGTACTCCGTGGCTCGGCATTCGTTGTTGCTCAGGGGGTTGGTGCCATTGTCGTGCTCGACCCCCACCAAGACGAAGATGGGTCCAGCGCTAATGAAGGAGACGGCCCAGAGGAAGAGGATGACCAGCTTGACCTTCCCCTTGGTGATGATGACTTTAGCTCGGAGGGGGAAGCAGATGGCGACGTACCGCTCCACGCTGAGGGCGGTGATGTTGAGGATGGTGGAGTAGGTGCAGCTCTCGCTGACGAACTGGAAGAGCTTGCAGAGGAGGTCCCCAAAGTTCCAGGGTCGGTACTGCCAGAGGCGGAAGAGGTCCAGGGGCATGCAGAGGAAGATGAGCAGGTCGGAGAAGGCCATGCTGGACAAGTAGAAGTTGGTGGTGGTCCTCATGTCCCGGAACCGCGACACCACCAGCATGGTCATGAGGTTGCCGATGATCCCGATGACGAAGAGGAGGACGCAGACGATGGTGATGCCGGTGAGGACGGGTGCGGGGAAAAGGTGCAGGGGGGGCTCGGCGCCCGTCCGGTTCTCGGCTCCGCGGCCGCCCGCGCTCCCCTCCCGCATCCTGCCGCCGCGGGCTGCGCATCACCGACCGCCCCGCGGAGATACACACCCACCCCCC